AGGGAGATAAACAAATTAGTAAGTAGAAAGATAGAATCTGATGAAATACGAGCAAACTGGATTTGAATATATTAAATAAAGAATTAGGATGGATTAATTAGATCACCTTCAGGGTATTAAAAGTTTGTTATATGATCTTCAAATGATAGTATTATGAGAAGAAATCTTATCAAAGATTGCAAGTAAAAGTGCTTAATTCTATGCCGATACTGGATAGATTTCTTTTAAAGACAAGATAAAATTGAATGTAAAACTATATTTACATAAAAAAGAAAATAGATGATTTAAATAGAGAGTCCTGGATTAGATTACGAATAAGAAGGGAGATAGGCAAGGTAGTATTATGTAAAAGAAAAAATAATATTAAGTGATTAAAGGAACTAATAACATTATAAAATTGATTAGTGCCTAGATAAAGGGTTCTGGAATAACAGTTTGTGTTTATAATGGTCTGTTCTGAGTGGATAAATGACATCAATAACCTAGTTGTCAGAAGTAGATAACAATTTAGAATTGATTTATATATTTAAAGATAAAATGAAAAGAATATATTTATTAAAAAATTATCCAAATTTGCATACATATGAAAGAAAAATAGATTTGTCTTGTCTTATCCTATTATTTATGTATAGTAAATAAAAAAAAATGAAAATTTCTTGGTTTTAAGACAACCTTTAAACAAGTTTGTAATACTAAAATGGATAAATAAAATGAACGTTAATAAAATATATTAAATAAGCTTTTGATAAAAAATATGAATATTTTGAGATTTTCCAATTCCTTTTTAAATTGCGAAGATTCAGCTGAATTACGAGAATGATTGATGATTCATAAAATTAGTAAGAAATAATAATATTATTGAATAAAATTATCTCTTGCCAATATTAGGCCAGTAAATACTATTAGAAAGACATCAAGATATAGTAAGATAAAAGAACTGAAATATAAATAAACCTTTTCCTCGATATTTATAATCTCATAATTGTCAGTCCCTTTAGGATAATACCTTTAATATCCTACAAGTTTAATGGTTTTATATAAATAAAACTTAGAAATCACTTTTAGTGTTTATTAGTTGGTCAGTCCAATTTATAAAAGGCGTTAAATATCATCCCACAGGTGTACAAGGGCATTGAGCATATCCAATCTCTCTAAACCCTTTCTGATTTCAAGCCTTTGTAATTTAATATTATTGAACCTCCTGACGTCCTGTCCCATAGTACCTCAGAAAAGGATGCTTGGATACTTTTCCAAAGACCAGCGTCAGGATATTAAACAATTGCAGCATAATCTCGTTTATTTATGTTGACTTATTTGCTCATACTCTTTTTTTCGTTTATATATATAGGATTAGATTTCCAAATATTTTATGACTATTTGATAATCTACTGATAAGTCTATGGTGGCCATGAATATATTCCCCAATATTTTATTTTACTTTTGAACAGTAAGTTTAGCATCAAAAATCTCTAATACTTTAAAAAATAAAAAGCATATCAATTAAGTGCCTCAATCCCTGATTTGAAGGGTAATTTGAGGGTTTTTAATTAGTTGTCACCCGAGATCGCCAGGGGTAGATATTATATGGAAAAAGTAGCAACAATAACTTCCCCATTCTCGATACATATAGAGATGCCGCCTTTCGAAGGTAGGCGATGGGGTTAAATAATGCGAATTCACAGTCAAGGTTTGAAATTTGAAAGGTGTATGAGAGATTTGGTGTGCTCGATGCCCTTGTACAGCTGTGGTGTTTACAGCCATATTTTAATCGAACTGACGCGCCCTAAGAAACACTAGAACTGATTGTGAAGCTCTAGATAAAATATTGTAACAGACATTGCTACTAACAATACCTTAAAGAGTCATATCCCATCTATTGAAAGACTTTTTGGTATTTAAAACATCAACTCTTCTATCAGTTCATTATCTTAATATTGGCTCCTTGCTTCACTTTATGATGAAAAATTTGCTTAAAAAAGACTCTATTTGATTTTTATTCAATGCACAGATAACTTCTAAAATTGATGAATAATCTTCTTCTTATCTACATTAAAATTCCAAGGTGGTTGCACTTTTGGGTTTCCTTGAATGTTTAATAAGTTTATTAATTAGTGAAAAGGCGCAATTAAAAGTGAATCCTGACGAAAAAACCTTCATACTTGTATCATTCATCCTTCACTTTAAATTTTTCCAGTTGAATTAAATCTTTGATAGGACCGATTAATACATTGTCTACAAATCTTTATTTATTCTCTTCTGTTTCTGATTCAGGATTACACTTTTGCTCCCTATTCTATCTATCCTATGGTTATTAATTTCGTTCCATCTTATTTATCTCATCTTGCATTATCTTTATTGTTTAACATCTTCTATATTTGTGATTTGAAGGCATTTTAATTTTTCTTATTGACAAGTTTATCTCCTAATAGATTGAATATTTTAGGAAAATTAATGTATAATGCATATCAATGTCATAGAATAATTATATTATGAATTCTGACTTCATTTGATATAAGATGAATATTAAATTAATTGTTATCTTTTCCTTTTCTTTGATCATAAAGTTTAATATTTGAATTTCTTTATAAAATAATTTTAAAAAATAGTGATAGAAGAAGAAGACTATCAATGTACTTGTTGAAATAGAATTCTTATTTTACCCAACAATTCCTTTCACTCCATAATTCTCATAATGATTCACCTCTCTTATCTTACTAAATATATTTGAGGTTGATGCCATTTAAGTAATCCTGAACTCTTCATTTTATTCCATCTTAAAGAATTTCAATTTAGCTTTGATTCTTCTTACTATTATGAATATTTAATAAGATTCCCCTTGCCTTTTGCATAATTGTCTTATCTTTAAATATAATTATGGATTATCTTTTAAAATCAAATTAGAAATGCTTTCTAAGTTATATTTTTTGATAAAATATTTTATACTTTTCAAATCTTCCATCCTTATGAACATGAATGTTGTAATTTAAGTCCTCATTTTTTTTATTTTAAATTTTAACTCATTTGAATTAAGATGATCTTAGGGTATAAAATTGAAGGTTTAAACTTTTCTCGATTTATTAGTCTTATGATAATCTTGCAATTTCTCATTAAAATCAATTTAATATTATGGTAACTAAATTTATTCATTTTTATAATATTATCAATCAAATGATTGTAATAACAAATAGCTTATAATTCCTTAATTATGTGCTACAGTTAATGTATTTATCATTTAAGTTTTGATCATCCTAATATATACGATTCATTTTAAAGGTTTATTTATCCAAAATCTAAGAGTTAATCCTTTTATACTCCTTGATAATTACGTTTGTAATTACTTGGGTCTAAAAAATTCATTTTAGATTTAGACTTACCATTATATTTAAAATTTTTTAAAATGGATTTTTTTTTCTCTTCATTAATAAAATTTATATGATCGCCTTTAATCAAATACAAATTACTAAAAGGTTTATTATATAGAAAAGGGCATCAAGATGTATATACTCCTTATTCTTAATTTCGATTTTACTATGCATTAATTCTCTTTTGATTTTATACAATCTTAATTTTTAATGATTTATTTTAAGATTTTATAAAAAATATTCAAGAATTTGAAACTATGATTCGATTATTTAATATCTAAATCCTTCAATAAGTTATTTTGAATTGATCTTTTATTTTAAGAAATATTTAATCTCTATTCTTATTAATTGATAGTAAAGAATGATTTATTTATTATTCAGACCAAAATTAAATGTTGAAATTTTCAATAATATAAGGATTTAGGTAAAACAAGAATAAGATGATATCAAAATTGATCTAATCTTCATGTTTTTAAACTGTTTTAATGTTTTTAATTCAAAACTTACAATGGTATAAGATGAGGATCAATCTTTTTATAAATTCTTATTGTCGGATCAAATAATTGGATTCATTTATTTATAAAAAGATATTAACGTGAAAAATATGGTAATTCTGATTACATAAAATAAAATGAGACGCTAAATTTATGGACTTAGTTTAAGGTAAAAATATCACCAAAATCAATAATATTGGTTATTCAGATCAATTTAGCTAATATGTGTATTTGAAATAAAAAAAATTATAATTATGCTATTGAAATAATCAACAAAATTATAGTTCAAATATTAATATTTACCTAAGTCAAAAGTTCCTAGATCTAAAGTTTGAAAACATTGGAAATATGTAAAATAGATTACTGGTATGATTGCATATTAATTGAAATCCTTTTATAAACTGTTACCCCTAAGGCATATGACTTAATTATGGAATACATAAATAAGCAACAACAAATAATCACAAATGGATAATTTAATTTATATTTTTTATTTCAATTTTTCCAAAATCCAAAATTTTATTCCAAGTATACTTTTAAATCAAAAGTAACTAAAATTTAGAAGTTCTTTATAATGAAGAACCTATTTATGAGGTTAATAAATATAGAATCTGCTTTATTGATTAATCATTTTCACTAGATCTCTATATCATATTAATTAAATTTCAAAAAATTTCTTAAAAATTGAGAAAGGCTTAATTTAACTTTAATATGAATTTTATTTCAACTTAGATTTACCTAAAATTGTGGGAAAACAAAAATATTAAAATTACATAAAATTATAAAACTTAAGAATATGAATCTTTTAGTTTTATATTAAAATAACTCTTTCCTTTTAGAAGTATCATTAAATTTATTGATTTAGGCTTAATTATATTTTATTTATATTTTTGCTATTAATCCAATTTTTCAAAAATATAAATGTGTCTCACAAAAATTTCTATTGGCTTGATTCCTACTTAAAATTATAATTTAAGCCTTAATAACTAAATTTCTGATGTTATTTAGGTATTTTTTATTCCCATTGATAATAAATATATTTTAAGAAATATTAAACTAATAAATTTATAACATCATGTTATCTGAAACTTAAAAACACAATTTTGCTTAAAATTGTTGAAAGATTAAAAAGTTAATAAAGATTATGAGGTAAATAAATGGGATGAAAAGTAAAAAAAAAAAGTAAAGGTAAAAAAAAAATCACATTTACATAAGAGAATTAAATGATTTACTAATAGGAAGGTGTAATTTTGAGATAGTATTTAATTATTTTGGCTATAAAAGGGAACTTAACTAGGACTATTTCAGAGATTAAGAAATCTTAATAGAGATGGAATAGATCTAATTTCTTTAATGGTAAGGTGAATATGGACCAAAATAGAAAAAATAAGGTAAATGGATTGCAACTTGGAAAGGGGAAATAATTTAAGAAGTTGGTGAATAGTATAATATGAGAATGGATTAAAGGAAGGTTAATGGAAACAACCAAGTAAGAGTTATTGGAGGTAAAAATGAAGTATGTATACAAAATAGACAAGCTCAAGTATATGAAAGTGGAGAATACTTTTTTGATTAAAAATTAGGGAGATGGAATTACATCTATGATAACTAAATTATGTATTATTTTTAATTGAATTATTAGTGGAGGTGGGTCATATGATTAAGTAGGTAGATAAGTCTATTTATATTTGGGGTGTTAAAACATGGCAAATAATATTGAAAATGGATGGTCATAGTGATATTGTACAATCAGTTTGCTATTTTCCAAATGGTACTCTATTATCATTTGCAAGTGCCAATTAGTCAATTCTTTTGTGGGATATTAACATGGTACTATAAAATATTCTCTCTGTATTTTAATCATCCTTAGAAAATAGTTACTAATCTCAAAGTAGTATATTTTTTAATATTATCCAGCAATTGTTTCTTTTCTTGTTATATCTAAATCCTTAGACTTTGAAGCAGGAGAAGCCTTCATTTTTTAAGAAGCATTTTCATTAGGCATTAATATGCTATAATCTTTTTAATAAAGAGGGGGTTGCATTTTGAAAAGCAATGTTAATTTTACATCAAGTAAAAATGATATTTGAATATTATAAAGAATATTATTAATGAATTATAAATTTTTGTATTATATTAAGTATTTTTTTTGAAATTCTTATTATAAATTAGTTTAATGAAAATGTTGATCCTAAATTGTTATTCATTTTGCTTCAAGCAACTAACTCTTCAATCAATATTTAGATGGTTCTTCTTAAATTAATGATTTTTATTTTGAAAAAAAGAATATTTATAGTGTTTGCTTTTACTGGTTGTTTAAATCAAACTAAAAATTCCTTCCATTGTCATTTGAGTATAATATAACTGCTTGCAGTATATTTCAATAATTCTTTATATTTTTTAATAATAATAGTCTTTTTTTTAAATGAAATCTGTTTAATGAGAATCAAAAAACGAAGAAATTACAATTGAGAGAAAATATAAATATTATTAAACACACGCCTATTATTTAAATCATTTGATATTGAGGATGAAAAGTAATAAAGCTTTAAAATTACAATTCATTTAAATTAGAAATTAATTCTTAATCTCTTTATTATGTTAAAATGCAAATACTATCCATCTTTTATTTACACGATAAGTCAGTTAAAAACTTGATGAAATATATCTCTATTTTGGATTTTAGGTCTAAATTGTAAAGGAACTTAATTACTATTCTTTTTTTTTTGATCTATTTTGCAAATATTAAATTATGTTAATATAATAATATATTAAATCTATTTTTATCAATTTATAGATTATATTAATTTTGATATTCCTATTTGATTTTGTTTAATTATTAGACATTTTTTTGAGGGGAAAAGAATGAGTTTATTCTAGTTTATAACAAAAAAAATATTAATAATTCTATTTGATAAATAATGAGTAAGCTCAAATACAAACTCAGTAGGATTTTCAACATCGGATTTTTTGGAATAAAAAATGGATAATCAACCTTAAAGATTAATAGTTTTCCTTGAATAGTAGAAATAGATTTAAGCACAAATAAAAAATAATATTAGATAGTTGATGCAATAAAGAAATTTTAAAATTAAATTGTATTTTAAATTTAAAATAAGTTGGAAAATAATAAAATGCTTATATTGAATTAATGCTTAATTTCAAAGGAATTAATAAGAACCAGAAATACTGATTTTTGGTCAAATTAGAACAAATCAATTGTATTGAACGAAGCTTCAAAAGTTTTTAGAAATTACCAAAGATATGATGCTATAGTTTTTATATTTAAATCCATAATTAAACTTAAATTTTTATTAGTCAATTTATTCTTCAATACTAGAGATCAATTATTTAAAAATTAGATTAATTTTAGTAACATAATCTTTTTTCTATAATTACTTTAGATATATCTAACAATTTTAATCGACCATTTTAGTAATGTTTTCAAATAATTAAGAATTTTCTGAAAACCTAAGTTGGATTGAATGAATAGTATTTAGAATATATTTTAATCATTCATCTGTTATGATCTAAAACAATGTTGTTCATTATTTTTTCCTGTAACTACATAGATAACTTAGTTTATCATTTAAATTAAAAGATTTATTAATTACTTTTTTTATTTGAAACTATATTCATATTTTTTAATGATTTAGTTTAGTTTTTGTAGTTAGTTCTTATTAATTTATGATTTTTAAGGCTACAAAAAGTTGTTTATTTATACTCTGCTATTTATATGTTAAGTCCTCTCTTAAGTCTATCTTGAAATCCTATAATTCTTATTTTAAAATAATTTTTCATCATTATCTAAATAATGCTAATAATAATTATTGAAATATTTTCTTTGTCTTTTCTTAGAGATTTAAAGGATTTTTAAGAGATCAGAATTTAGCTATTTAAAATCTGGAACTGATAACAAATCTATTAGATTAAGAGAAGGAAAAATTTAATTTGAGGGGAAGAAGTAATAAAATTTGAACTACATATTGCATTTTTGTTTTTCTTAGGAGAAAAAGTTTTTGAATTTTATTTCATTAAAATCATAATCGGATTCTACAATAGACTCTAAACTTTAATGAAAAACACATATTCTAAATTTTTAAACCGATTGATTTTTTTTTCTATTAACATTGTTTTTTAAGTATATAAGTTGATAGAATTATAAAACTTTCATTTGAAAGAGCATGCATGAATTACTAAAAATCGAGAAAAGATAATGCAAAATTAATTGGCAAATAATAAAGTAAATGGTAATATTTATTTATAAAAATCAACAATTTATTTAGTTCTTTTGTTATGACAAGTCAAAAGTAGTACTTTAAATGAAAAAATAGTTTTTAAAATGAAAAGTCCTTTTTAATAATTAATAAAACAAGGTAGTTTTCTTTTCTTTTTTAAAACCAAATGTCAAAATAGGTTAATTAAAATACTGGTATATAAATGGAACAAATGTTTGTAACTCATTTGTTTTTTTTATCAAAATAAATTTAATTCTTTATTATGATATACTAAAATTAACAATGAGAATGATAGAATATTTAAAATTATTCGTCGAAAATTTTGTACATAAAATAGAATTTTATATTTTTTCTTTAGTATTAAAAAAGTTGTTATATTTCAATCTTCTAATAGACAATATAATTCATAAATTAAAATATTAAAATAAAATGATCATTTTTTTCTTGATAATCCAAAAGATCACTATGTTCAAACCTGAGATAAAGGAGAATGATATCACCTTGTATCCAACATAAGGAGAGTACTTTAAATTCTATATCAATGAAATTCTATATTTAACTAGTTCCCTACCTGAATTATCATCATTGACATGTAATTTGAATTCTTAAGTTCCTTATGTAGATTTAATCAATACTCTTTAAGAGACTTACCTAACAGAAGGCGAAAGTAAATATCATCAATATTATAATAGATTTTAAATCAATATCTTCAAATATTACGCATTTTGCTGCTTTGACCTATAACAACTAAGTTATTATATATGAATGGATAAATGAAATCTTAAAATAAGTTGGATAAACTCTGAACATTGATTCTTCAATTAATTGTTTTAGCATCAATTTATTTTTAGATTCTTCAATTTTAGTTGATTGCTATAATAATGAATAGTTTTCTTTAATGAACATAATAAATGCATAATCAATTATTGTGTATTAAGCTGAATCCTATATGCCTAATTCAACCGAAATATAATCAATTGTAAATGGAACAAAAAATTTTATAATCTATACCTAATATTTTCAGAATTATTCTATTATTTCGCTATTTTCAGAATAATTTGATAATTTAAGCAGCTTTAACTCTACATTTATTGATTTTGATATTTCAAATAGAATAAATCCTTATATTTATGCAATTAATTAGCAAGAGATTTTCTAATTTTATATATCAGAGGATTACAAGTTTGTATAAATATCTAATAACACATTTATTTGGTGTTTGAAATTTACAATTATTAATGCATATTATAATTCAAAATCTTTTTCTTAATGTGATCAAATATAGGTATTATGTGAAGTGACTAAATATAATGGGCCATTACTGGTTTTTTTTGGGGGATGTGAAAACTCAATAATCTATTAAGGTTAAAGAAGTATTGACTTTTCTTTTCAAAAAGTACTCTAAAATAACTAATTTGTCATTTATTCAAATTATTCAGATGATAAAATAAGAATTTATTTCTATCAAGAGATTTCTTCTTACTAGATAGAACATATTAAAAATAACTCTTAATTAATTTTGAATGCAAATAATGAATTATTTTCATTTAATAAAGACATAATTGTTTATAAAATTTAATCACCAGCATTAATAATGAACCTAACTAGTTAAGAGATTGTATAAATCAACGAGAATTTTAAAATAAAATGTCACACCAGAGATTTTTAAAAACAATTTCTCTTTTTTATAAGAGTTTAAGTTTTGTCTTAAAATGACACAAATATATATGTAATGTTTTAACCAAATTTACCTTAAATGTAAATTATCTCTAATAATAATAATAACATTATAGTCACTTTTACTGGTTTTTCAGGATAATTATTAAATTATTCACTTAATTCAGATGAAGTATTTTTAAATTTATAACAAACAACATTTTCTAATGCTGGTAGATTGCTATAGCAATATTATTTAATAAAAATAATTTCATAATACACATAAATGGGAAGTTTTTCTTTAGTAGGATATAATAATTAATCCCTTGATTTTTATTATTGCCAAATCTCAATTTAGGGTTCAACTTAGTCAATCTGCTAGTAATAAAATTCGATTGAGATTTCTATAAATGCATTTTAGCTCTAAATTGCCTTAAGTATTTATCCTTAAATGATGATTGTTGGACTCAGTGATAATAATACAATTTATTTGTTTAAAAACAATTAAGAAGGCTAATAAATTAGTTAATTAAATTATACTTTTGAATCACAGGTCTCAGAATTTCTAATCAATTATAATACTATTATAATTCGTATTCTAAATCAAGAAATTCAAATAATGTCTTTAAATTTTACAAATACTTTTATTTTAAACTAATAGGTTATAAATAGTATTTTCAAAAATATTAAATTCAATCCAATATAAATTGTTTAGAATACTTAATTATTTTCAAATTTCTTATATATTAACAATATTAATAATGTTATTATAGTTACAATAGATTAAAATAATTAGCCAATCCCAAATTCACTGATTTAAGTTAATTACACAATTAAACAAATAAACTTAGTAAATTAACAACTGATTTTATCATATATTTGTGATAATGGTTAAAATATTTGTTTCTAAGTTTGGAACATTGAAAATTTGCCAAATTTTTATTATGTGAAAAGTCTTTAAAGAGTAAATTTTGATAATAACATAATAATTTAATCTGATAACTTGTTCTTTTATGTAACTTTTAGTAATTTAACTTTTTATGTTTATAATCCATTATTATCATATCATATGAGTTTATATTATATGAATGTATTAACATCTCCAATTAAATGCACATTAGCTTTTATATTTCCATAAACAACCTTATATGAAAATTCAATAATATTTTATGAAAATAGTTACTACTAACTTAGTAATTTCTAGTATTATGATCTAATTTATAATTTAGAAAATTTAACTTCTTACTATTAAAAAACCTATCCATAAGTGATTTACAATTACTTTGTAACTTCAGCATTAAATCAATCAGCAGTTTAATCAACTCTTAATTAAAGCATTTCTTTTTTAGTAAATTTCACTATGTTTTAATCAGTTACTATTTAATAAGTTCATTTAAATGAATATAATTTAATAAATACTTAAAATACAAAGACTAAGTAACTCAATTCAATGATGATTTCAATTCCAATGAATTTAATCATTGATAGACAAGTCAATTCTTGCAAATGCATATATCCTGAATATTGTTCTATAGATTAAAGTTTAAGATAAACAAAAAATACATAAAATTTCTCATTAATAACTTCCATAAACAACTAATTTTTTGCTTTATAGAATAACTCATTTATTTATATTGTAAATGCTGATTTTATAACTCTATCAAATTTAAGTTATGATTATTTAAATTTTAGTGAATGTTTATCATCAACATCAAATAATTACAAATTATATTCAATTTGTTAAAATAATTCTTCTTAGTATTGGTTAACTTTTAGTTTAAATTCTTCTGGTTTTGTAATTCAACCATAGCTTATTTAGCTTTCAGAAACATTTTCAACAATTTATAAAATAAGGAGCCTTTTAAATCAATACTATATCTTAGGAAATATAAATTATTAGGCTCAATAGTTGTATTGGATAAACTAAACTACTAACACTTCATAATAAATATTTTATTTTAGTGATGCCGATAGTTATTGTTAAGATTTTTCAATAGGTGAATTAACAAATACTACTATTGCTAATACATTATCAAAGACAATCATTATTTCTTCAATCATTAAGTATCTAATTGAAGAATAAAATTTAGAACTGCCAGCACTCTTTTATCAATTGATGTAAATAGATGACCAATCAATAACACTGACAAAATAGTTTTCCTTCCAGATATAATTTTGCGATTAACAATATGCTTGTTAATATGTGAACATTTATCCTAATAATATTCTAATTCTAGAAACAGACCATAATGATGTAACTTTACTTATAGGTAATATTGATAATAGTTACATAATTGAGTTAAAAGTATAAGTTTTATAAACACAATCAATAGCTACAGTAATTTAAACTATTCCAAATTATGGCAGTTAAATAAATTTGGGTAATTCATTTTATTAAGATGGTTATTTGATGCAATAATTTTCTTATAATTATTATTATCTTGTTGGATTTTATAATTTAAATAATTTAGGAATAGATAATATATTTGAACCCATTTTGATGTATAATTCATTCACATCATACTCAAATCAATATGCAATGATTATAAATAAAACTAACTTATATCAAAATGGAATTTCCCTAAGCATATATAACTAGTCTATTATACAATCATATTAAATTAATACCTGGAATATATCTACAGTTATTTTTTCAAGTAAAAATGATATTAATGTTTCTATATCTTGTTCGAATAATTTTTCAGAAGGTATTTATAATATTACATTCCATCTGCCTCCATATTTTGATTTAAACTTTAGAAAATGGATTTATGCTATGCTTTTTATCATCGTTTTACTTATAGTATTATTTTGCTATAAAATTTAATAATAGAGAAGAAAATATTAAAGTATTGATTACGAAATTGAATTATGAGGTTAAAATAAAGTATAAAATTAAATTTTAATATTAATCATAAAATTCATTATGTATTTTCATTAATGTTATTATTCTTTATTTTTTTTAAGGGATCTTATTTTTTGACAATAATTACCACTTGTCAAAAGAAATCTCTTTAATAAGAATGTTATATTTAATTAATAATAATATTTTTAAACAATTACAAAATTTTCATCAATTTAAGAGTAATATAAAACTTCTATTGCAATAGAGTTGTTTTTTTAATAAATTTTAAGATATTTAAATTTATGTGGAACATTGAACTTTTTTACTAAAAGCGCTCTACGCATTTTATAGTAAGTTAAGTTTTCATTCAAGTATATATTTTTAAATGAACATCTTATCATTTATTAAAACTTTATCATCAATTTCAATTTTCTGATAATCAATTATGCTTCATTAATAATATAAAAAAGAAAATTATCTCGGCTTCTTAACTGTATTTATGGTATTAGCAATTACTTTATAAAATTTAGAATTTTTTAGAGTTGATTTAACTTAATTAAAGTTTATTTCTATATTATTATAATTCTTTGTTTACAATATTAAGGAACTATAATAAACATAAATTTAATTTATGTTTGGGTAGGTTAAATATAATTCATGAAATCAGATTAAATATTAAATAATTTGAACTCTAAGATAATTCTAATGAATTATATCTTCTTAGAATAGTTTTGTTTTGATTTTAATTTATAACAGATTTAGGTAGTTACCCAACTTTATATTTATGACTAACACGCATGAGAAGCAAGTTGGAAATACAAAATATTTAGTAATTCATTAAATACATATATGAATTTAACTGTTGATAATTACATCCTGCTTATTCTCATTCATCAAAAATTAATGTTTCAATAATAAAAGATGGCCATTTTCAATTTCACTAATGTAAACAATTTTTTTTGTTAAATATCTCAAGCTTATTATTTATTGTATATTTTTGGAATGAATTAGAGATTTTATTTTAGATAGTCTTTTCAGAATTTAATTTATTTATTACCTAAAAGACAGTAACTAAATTTAAATCAAAAAAAAAACAATCAAATCATTTTATTGATAAAATTGTATGTTATAAGGTGATAAAAAAAAGAAATTTATTTAAATAAATTAATAAAAATGGAAAATACTTGTTCAAATCATTAGAATCTGATAAGAGATATAGACAATCCACTTAACTACAATAATATTACAAAAAATATAACCAAAGAAGAATATGAATGTTAATTACTAAAGGTAATGATGATAATCAACTTAAAGTATATTTTAAATGGATAAATTTTAAGAATGCAAATAATTCAATTAACAAAAATAGAGAATAGTAAAAAAGGAATTTTTTTAGGACCTCAAATCTTAAATTTATTTAGAGCAAATTTATTATTTTGAATGACTTTGAAAAATTTTAGGACAACTCTAAGAAAGAGCAAAATGGACAGTTATTTGGAAGGGAGAATAAGTCAAAAAAGTTGGTGGATATTATTAATAAATAAATTAAGATACTATCTCTTAATTAGGGATAAAAAACGGTCTTTGGAAAGAAATAATAAAATATGTATTACTTATAAATTAATTTATTTATATTATAAAGACAGACTCAAATCTATGAAATTGGATAATATTTAGATAATAGAAAATAGGAAATTGGATGTATATTTTGGATAATAAGATTTAATATTACAGTGGCGGTGGAGAATAAACTAGCAAAGTATAAAGGATATACAATGGATTGATTTGAGTGATTATTTTTGGGAATATTTTTTGGATTAATTTATTCAGGAACAATAAAAATGTATCTTCTTATTAGTTTCATAATTTTATTAATGATTAATCAAAAAAACAAAAGTGGAGGAAGATTTTATGAAGATTAAATAGAAGGATATTCTCTTATATTGGGATATGGAGTGAAATTAGCAATTTTTTTTATGATTGGTCGGTGCAAATTATACCATTTGAAAATTAATAAGCAGACAATTTTCTACATTGATTTCAGGAGTTATTGAATAATCTTGAATTAATGGTAATGTGCAAATTTTTTGAAGTTCCAAATTAACATAAAACCGAAGACAATTTTAAATAAACGTGGTTTTTATAGGAAACTTATATTAATTTATTTATTGATATTGAAAATCATTAAAAAATTTCTAATATAAATGAAAATACTTGAAGAATCAAATGAACAGTTTGAGCATATCTAACATTTATAATTTAATCTGTGTTAAATGAATAAAAATCAAGGTAATATGTGCATTTTGATATATCATCATTTTAATACTGAAGTCATGGAGGATAGCAAGATATATCTTAACATTTACCATTTGCTAATATAAAATTATCATCACATTCTTTACATAAAAGATTAACATTATTTGATAAGCAGTCAAAACAATTATCTGAACATTCAAAACGACTTAAAAATTTAATCCATTTTTATGGATTCATTTGACATCAATCACTCAGAATTGACTATTGAAGGAATAAATAATTATACATTATTACCACTAAATACATTCATCACCAAATGAAATAACCATATTTACAAATCTAATCTTTACTTATTGAAAAACCTTTTATTAAATAAAAGCCTAAATAAGAATAGGATTCGCATTTTCACCTGTTTAATTCAAATCATAAGGATAAACCAAAACTATTTAATCAATTAAATAAATTCTATTTGATTCTTATAAATTTAGAATCTTATCTAATGTATTCTTAAATTAATAAATAAATAAAATTTATTATTCTAAAATTCAAAACTAATATATTGTCAGAACACTAGCAATTCAGCTAGGAATAAAAAGTCCTTTATTAATTTTATTTGCCTCTACATTTTTGTTCCTATATTCCGATTACTTTAAATTTTTGGGTTTAATAGATTTTTTATGCAGGATATATTAAAAATGGAATTCTAATAGAAATTATTACTGCCTTCAATCAAAATTGGCTAGACAAAGAATTTTGGATAAAATATTATGATGTTGAATTCTTAAAAGAATATAATTAGAATGAAATTTAATAATATTATCAAATAAAAGAATATTGGAGATATTTTCTCAAGGTTTTTTACTAAATTTACAAAGAATAATGGACCTGTAGACAATTTAAGTTTATCATTAATTTATAAGAAGAGGGGATGATTATCATAAGACACTTTACTATAATTCAAGAATAAAATTTATTAATATCAAATTCTGAATATATAAACTATAATCATAAATATTTTCTAGATATCCATGTTTAAATAAATTAAATTAGATTAAAAATATCATTGCTAAACATTTCTTTTCTCTTATTAATTCGATATTAATTTTTAATAACAAATTTATACTGTTTGCATTTTTAAATTTTTATTGAAAATTTAAATATTGTTTAAAAATGAGTAGCCTTTAATGATATTCTATCAATAATAATATCTAAAAATAATATTTAATAAAAGTAGTTAAAATGATTTTCAATAATTTATTCAGTTTAACAAATGATAGAATTTCCAAATTACTTTTTTAATATTGTTAAATTACTAAACTTGAATTCAATAATATTTTTTAATTACAATTTTTATATGTTATATATAATCATTTAATCTATGTTACTTAGAAAGGAAGTAAAGATATAATATAAATTTTATAAATTACATATATTATTTTCATGAATAATATTCATAATTATTATTATACATCAAATTTTAAAGTGGATATATTACTAATTTCAAATAGTTTGTCAATAAACAAAAAGAAAGATGATATTTTTTATTTCTGTCTAAGAAAATAATATCTTAATGTACTAAAAATTGAAAACTTTAATAATAGAAGCTAAAATTTTACTTCTCAGATTTGAATATTAAACCACAATAAAATTAGTATGAAAAGTATCACAGTTATGAATTTTTATGAATATTTATAAACATTATACAAAAATATTGTTAAATTACAAATTTATTTTTTTAAGAAATCTTTAAAAAGAGATATTAGTATAAATTGTTGTTATATACTTAAATGTATTTTGATTTTATATATATATATATTGTAATACAAAAGGTTACAATATTCATAGCTATAAAAAAATTAGAACCTTCTTTAACAATATAAATGATAAAACTATATTTTGTTATTATTTTCTAAATTATAAAAATAATAGGGTTAAAAAAATTAGAAATTAAAAAATGATGATATATTAATATTTTAGTTATTTAATGGAAATCAAATTGCATGCTTTCGTATCCATTCTTATACGTCATGTATAAAGAGTTATTTATTGAATTAATAAATTTTTGCAATTTCTGGATCTAATGGATCATCTGGATTTTCCAAAACATCATAAATAACCGAAAGGACTATATATTTTAATTTTTTAAATTACTTTTACTTATTTTCTGAGATGGAGACCACTAATTTTATAATAAATCTAAACTTAACTATTCTTGTGAATTAATTTTTAGATGATATATAGGAGGTATGTAGCAAATTTTAGTGGTCTTAAAGGATAAACCATGAAAATATCTTTTTAATATTAAACAGCAACCTTAATAAAAAGAACCTTCACAACTTAAAATTTTTGCCTTCCATTTATAAAAATCTAAATTATCAAAAAGATTTACAAAACAATTTGTTGGTAACTCTTTGGGAGATCCTGTGATACTTTCTTAATTCTTTTTAGAGACATATAAATTTAAAATACTTAGATAATATTGGCAATTATATAAATATATCAATTTTTAGAATATCTGAACAGATAAAGAATTTTTTAATTGATAGAAAGTCATAAAATTTGTTATTGGATTTTTTCACCTAAATCCCTCATGTTAAAGTCTTATTTCTTTACAATTGTGTTAATAGCATTTGATAAGAAGGATTTTGAACATATGAAAAGTAATAAAGTTTAATAAAACAATTATAAGATTGTTCCATTTTCAATAAAACGTTTATAATTGTTGTTACCATTTCAGGCTAGAGTGAGTAATTATATTTTTGATACTATTCAACTGCAAAACTTGTTCATAGGTATTTTAAATTATTTACAAAGCATACATTTAAATTTTTGTTTGGAATGATGTTGTGAATTTTGTTATAAGCTCTTTCATTTCACTTTTCTCTTTCAAAAATTAAATTAGATATAAAGTATTAAGGATTTTCTAAAATTGTAATTTTTAATTTCTATTAAATGCTTAATATTAAATCAATTTATGAAATACTAAATTTATTCTAATATCATGACTTCTTAAAAATTGTTTTAGGCTTGTCCAAACTAATTTAATCAGATTTAGATTATTACTTTAAGGTGGCAAAAATAACAACTTTACTTTTTCTTTATATAAACTCTTCACTAATTATGTGCTCTAGAGTTACTTAATGTTACTTAATATAGGATCCATATTGAATATTATTACTTGCTTTGTTTCAATGATATCATTCTATAGAACTTTCTTCAAAAGCTGGTTTTAAAGCATTCCCTGACACTTATTTTTCTAGAATGAGTGTACATGTGTCAGTGCATATAGTGTTTATTAAATTTCAACGTATTTGGTGTATTATTTTGTATAGAAATTTATAAAGCAATTAGAAACTGGAAAAATGCCACTTTTGAATCTAATAACTCTTTAAACGGATAAAAAACAATAATATTAATTTTCTTTGAATTTTAATTCTATTGTCAAAAATTATTAATGTGTATGTAATTTTTAAAATGAATTGACCGGATACTTTATAAATAAATTGAGTTTATGTGAAGAATGTATTCCTTATTGTAAGATATGTGGAAATTAATTTAATTGTGATAAATTCTTTGAGGGCTATTATCTGCAATTAAATTATTTAAATTGTAATGAATAATTTGAAAAATGTCCTATTAATAGAACTAATTAAAGAAATTAATCCTAATAATAAATATATCTTAGGATTTGATGAATGTTAGAATAAATTTTATGATGTAAATGAAAATTTAAAATTCTAAATTAGTTAATGGAGAATTCTAAAAATACATAATTTTTGGTCACAAATGAATAGAAAATCAATATAATACAATCTAATTTACATAAACTTTTGAATTTTTAATATAATTGCAGTTTAGGGTAGTTCTGGAATTAAACCAGGAGTTCTTAATGTTATTAATCCTGCTTTAATTTCATCGACAATTAATTTAATTTTATAAATTGTGATTAAAGACTAAATAGAATTTTAAATAATAAGTAAGTAGAAAATATTCAGTTATCATGTTTCTTTAACAATATAAGTTTGTTCATTTTTGCTTCCAAAATTTAATTAAATATTAAAATACTTTGCGATGGGATTATCAAAATAAAAAAAGTAAATTTTTTAAATAAAAGAAACTAAACTTTTGTTACAAGGGAAATTTATTTCTTATAACTATTTTGGTATCTAAAAAAATACAGCATACAAGTTTGCTTTCAATGAATGAGATAATTATTTAATAAAAATATAGCATAAATTTAGTTACTCAATCAGCTAAGATAAAGCTAAATATTATTTAATCGCATAAATTAAAAAAATATGAAAAAAAGCTAACTTTGATTGTTAATACTAAAACACTCTAATATCAATTAAAAAATCATTATATTAATCAATTAATTATCATTAAATAACAATACTAATTGGCCAACCTATTTAATAAATGATTTAAATAATATACTGTAATTATTTATAATTACCAGATTAGATTTATTTATAACAAACAATCTTAGGCTCTATAACAAAATCTTTACATTTTTAATAATTAACTGTAACTATAATTGCATCAAAAAAATATTAAGAAAATATCTTTCATATTGAGTTGAAGCAAATTCAAATATTGCTAATACAAACTCTAAGGATGAAACCTATATTTAATAGATATTTTTTCTAGGATAAAACGAATAAAATGATTAGATTTATACCTTCTATAAATAACCAATTTTTAAACACAAAGTCCATGCATGAATACTTGAACCTGTTTATTACTAAAAGTTCAAGATTACTTAAAGGTGGTAATTAATCAATTGAATGTGGAGATGCTGCTTCCAAAATGATAAACTGTATCAAAATATATGGAAAATAAAATTCCTAAAAATATACAGAGAACACTCTTATTCTTTCATTTAATTTAGTTAAGTATTTTACTCCTTTACTTATGAATAGGTTATGATTTTCAGAATTTTTAATATTAATACAATAATAATATCACTTCATTTAATTTTGTATCCATAATTATAAATAAACATTGCAAAGGTAAACTTATTTTATCTAATAAACTTGCCTCATATGTCATTTTTTCTGGCTAATCTATTTTTAATATTTAGACAGAATTATTAAATAAGTTTAGATATACTATTTGATCAATTATTTTATTATTTTAATACATCCACCATATTTTTAAATCTTCTGATTTCTTTTTAAAATATCCATTTAGAAATTCCAAGATTATTAGTTTCTAATTATTTTGTAAATAATATATATAATTCCATATACTCGAAAAAATTTCTTATTCTTTTCAATTTCCCCCTAATCAATATTTGTATATCAATATTATAATTGTCTATTTACCAAACTCATACTTTTTTTTTTTTAGATTTAGATTTACGATCATTACTACGACTTTGAATATCATCACTTATATATTCATAAGATCATTG